TGAGTCCCAGAAATTTCTACTGTCTTTTTCTCATTGTAAGTTATTTCCTTGCAGTTTCTCTGTCTGCGATATTATCAGTGTCACAACTCTGTAAGGGTTTCTGTAAAAACATCGACAACGCATTTTAGTCTGGTGACTTCTGTCTGTAAAATCGATACTCCCAGAGTTGCCAGATTGGCTTTTTGACGTCAAATTTCTGTAAATCTGGCATTTTTCGTGTTCGTTTGGCGCTAGAGAATTGTTTTGGCATCTTTGGCTGTTTCTTGGCTTTATTTTTTTTTAACATGACAAAATATATAATACGCAGTATATTACAGCTGCTATGCTACAATCTTTTCTTCTTTTTTTATCCCAAGTGATGCTCTTGAATTATGGGATATTTCAACTATTTTTATTATCATATCCGTAATCCAGAAGTGGGAGGGATCCCAGAAATTTATTTTAAAAACAAGTGGAATAATGATTCTATTGTAAACATATACCAGTTTCAGCAGCCAATCAAAAAGAAGAAATTTCTCTTTCAAAATTCTCTATCATATAAATAAATAAACAAATGAGTGTTTCCTCCTGACCTTTCACATGCTTGACCCTCTTCTCCTATGTTTCTTTCATAAATGAATATTAAGCTCTTTAATACACATACTAAAAAAAAAGAATAATTAATGAAACGGTTATTATTCTATCATTAGATTTAATAAGCTAGGTAAAAAACAAAAAAAACAAAACAAAAAAAAACAGACTTTTCAGTTAAAAATTTAAATTTCATGAAATTTATCTAAAAATGTTTTAATCATAAAGTATTATTAAAACTCTAAAAACATTAAAAAAATAAGACTTCCTAGCCAATGAAACTTGTTTGACCTAAATAAATTAAATTTCCGAATTTACAGCTAAAAAAATAAAAATACAGTGTAACCCGGATGTAAGAGAGTTGTCGGGACCGGAGAAGAAGTCTCTTATATGCGGGTTTCTCTTATATCCGGGTTTCGTCTATTTTGTTTAGGTAAGTATGAGCTCTAATTTGGGACCAGAGAAAATCTCTCTTATATCCGGGTTTCTCTTATATCAGGGTTTGGTCTATTTTGTTTAGGTAAGTATGGGCTCTAATTTGGGACCAGAGATAATCTCTCTTATATCCGGGTTTCTCTTATATCCGGGTTTCGTCTATTTTGTTTAGGTAAGTATGGGCTCTAATTTGGGACCAGAGAAAATCTCTCTTATATCCGGGTTTCTCTTATATCAGGGTCTCATATCCGGGTTACACTGTAAATCACTGTACAAATGTTTCAAATTGAAAGAAATAATAAAGTGAGTTTTATTTAAGTAAAAAGTGAGTTTTTATTAAGTTTTATTATAAAACGCCAAAAATCCCACTATATATTAATAATTTAATAAAATCTCGTATGTTTATTTGGCTTTTTGCTGGCTTTATATAAAAAATTTAATTTAGCTTTTTTCTGGATTTTTATACGTATTATTTGGCTTTAAATAAAAAAAAAATAATCTGGCAACCCTGGATACGCCTGCTTTTTATTCACATAAACAATATGTCTGACACGGTACTTCCGGCGTTTCAGTTTCGTTAGTTCCCGGTTACAACAATTAGCATATGTCTGTAGAACCATGTCTATATCACTTCAAGTCTCTTTTTAATCAGTGAAGAGATAGTCTGGCATTCATTCTTCTGTAAGAGATCCTGATATGACATAAGAGTTCAGTAAAAAATACTTTATGAAATAATGAAAAGTACATTGTCGTCATCAAATTCCATAGTATAATTCCACATGTCTGCACTTAACGTCATTAACTGTTATATATACTCGTAAAATCATCAGATAAAAATAGATTTTGATAATGGAGCATAGCATCAGAATGTTTTTGTTTCAAACTTGTCTTTTCAGCTCAAACAACAGGAAATAACAGGGCGGATTGTGGAAGCAAAATTCTCAGCCCTTGAACTTAAAATACTTTTCTTTTTCAGAATTAGATCGACAGTTAAATCGTTTGGTTTATCTCCGATTCGAATGATGCTTTTTATTCCCAAATTTTATGCTGCGCTCCCACTGAACAACTTTCTAAGCCTTATTTTCAACTTATTGCTATCATTTAAACGAGCAATAAACATAAGAATAATGATAATCATCATCTAGAAATGGTAGAAATTCAATGGTATCATACTTATTATAAAACCCAGGTTGTGTGTGTGTGTCTGTACGTTTATATATTGGATCGGATTTCCTACATTTTTCACCCGATTTCAACAAAACTTCACAGGACTACGTAAAATTACCTTGCGGTGGTTCTGACAGCACCAAAATTGAAAAAAAAAAAAACCACAATTGTTTTTACACAAAATCAATTTGAAAACACGATTAAGGCATCGCTGTGAGAATGAAAGGGGGACAACTCATATCGAGATATACTTATTATAAAACACAGGTTGTTTGTGTGTGTGTTTGTTTATATATAGGATCGGATTTCCTAAATTTTTCAGCCGATTTCAACAAAACTTCACTTTTTTTTTGGCAGGTAGTGTTTCTTATTGTCTTGCACACTTTTTTCTTTATTTTTACATTCAGAATGCTTTAAAAATTCCATTTACAAGGCAATTGTTTATAATAAAATTCTATTCAATCAGTAGACTCATAATGATTGAAAACAATGTTTTTGTTTGAGTTTGGGTTTGACCAATTCGTAAGAAAAAAAAAACTAATTAAGAGATGCGTGTCCGTCAACCTTAAACAATAATCTTTGTCAATTTTATTTTTCAGTCTTTATGATGGTCGATACTTGATCTATCCCTTACTGTTACATCCCCGGGCTCTACTGCTAGTGTCTTATATATTCATATATCCGAATTAGGGCACCTCAAGGTGGTGTAATTGGTTAGCAAGTATGTCTCGTTAGAACAATTACGAATGAATAGTGAGTTCGATCCTCACTGGGGGCCTCCTACTTTCGGCCTTGTGCCATATCTAAGCTACGCTTGGGAAATCCCTATTAGGGATCTCGAGGTGGTGTAATGGTTAGCAAGCTTGTCTCGCTAGAACAATTACCACTGAGTAGTGAGTTCGATCTCCACTGGGTTCCCTCTACTTTCGGCCTTGTGCCATATCTAAGCTACGCTTGGAAAATCGCTATCGATATACCCGATTATTAAAAGAAACTGTAGGTCAATACTGGATCTTATTTTAATTGTTACAATTAATAACAGATTTTCCGGTGGACATTAACGGATTCGTTTTTTTACGGCTTATCAACCCATTGCACGTTATTTAAAACCAGAAAATATTTTTGATTGTAAATTTTGTTGGGTAAGTAGATAAGAATTGTTTAGTGATACAAATCTTATAGCAGGGGCATAGAGGTAAATTTATACCTTTCCCAAGAATATTTGCGCGTAAATGGTTATAACGAATCTAACTGGATTTGGAACTCGGCTCTTCGATTAACAATTCCGAGCCATTATCTATTACACCAGCCGCACATTCAAGCTTACGGTACTTGATATTCCCAATCGATAACCCATCTAGGCTCGACGTTGCTTAACTTCGGTGATAGTACGCGAACCGGTGTTTCAACGTGATGTGGCCGTAAGCCAGACACGGCGGGATAGACCACATACTACAATAAAACCATTGTGGTAGACCATATTATGGAAGTTAACATGCTAACGGATCGGGTTCCGTTACAGAGTTCAGAATTTAGAGCCACAGAGGAGAGGAATAATTACTAGATTCTGGTGTACATTAAACTCCGTTTTCAAGGAATTTCCTCTAACGATGTTAGAGCTTTGAAAACTGTGACACGGTATTGTCGGACCCGGGTCAACTCGCAGTCACGACGCGAAGCTGTGATACTTCTGCCAGCGTTTTGGGGGTAGACTCTTAGTCGCTGCCACCAACAACGTTACCGGGTCGATCGGTGGTCGTCACTATCCGACGGAATCCTTTGGTCAGTGTACCAAATGGGATGGTCGGTCGATTCTAACGGCTTCACACCAGCTGCAACCGGTTCGACACCAGCTCCGTCGTTCTCAGATCACTTCCAATGACTGGTTACCGAAGTAACTACTTCGATCTCAATTCTAACCTACCCACGTTGTATTTTTATCTTAGGTAGACGTTATCAATCAGGCATCGGGCCGTAGTGCAAGATGAGTCTAAACTGGAGGTAATGTCGCACAAGCATAAAAGGAAATAGATAAAAATCAGAAAAAGGTTCGGGTATGTTGAAAGAAAGTAAATCAACTTTTATCGGTCTATTCTATAGAGGAGTATGAATTCTTCCCAACCCGTTTCTTCTGTGAGTGACATTATTATACTTCTAGGCAAGTTCTGGTCTTCTAAGTCAACTGGTTTAGGTTTTAAGTACTGACTTAGCTTTCTTCGTCAATATAACTTGCTGTTTTGTAGAAAGGCAAAGTCAGAGGCGGAAGTCATGGAATCTCTCGGTCAGTTTCTGAAAGGCAACTCTCTGGTTCCTGCTAGCGAACTGAACTGTACTGGAACTCACTGGCACTGACTGGAACTGGCGAACTGCCCGAGGGCGCTCCCTTATGTGGACATCGAGCAAATACTGATGTGGGGTTAGATGCAGCGTGGGGTTCTTGGTAATTCCTGATTTCTGACAAGAGACCCCTTTGTTATCCGGCTAGGAAAATTGATTACTTTCAATTTTGGAAAATTAATTACTTTCCATTTTTTTTCTGGGGTGGGGATATACCTTTGTCCGTGAGGAGAGGTTGCAGGATAGCCATCCTCCTAAATTCTTTCTGACATGGGTACCTCATACCAAATCCTTTCGGTGGACGTTAGTAATTTTTCCGTCATCAATTTACCTCCGCCTATCACCATTGCTACCACCCGACCAATGGCGTCTTGGTCGTGCGTGTGTGGCTAAGCTTGTTTCATTAATTAACTCTTTGACATTCAGGATTTCTGAGTTCAGAATTATCAACTTTGTTTATGAAATTCCCTTTTCCGTCTTACAAATAACACATGGCTCCGTCGCTTGGCCAACTCGCGACTTCGAATGATATCTTCGACGCTTTCTGGTTCTCGTGCTTTCTTAACCAGTACTTTTACAATCATCATCAATCAATTGTCAAAAGCTCGTCACATTACCATTCTGTGAATTTATCTTTGACGCAAACCACTGGATCATTGAGAAAAGTAACTTTTTTTTAAAGTACAAATAAAATCACGGAATATCTTCTTTTCCGTTCTCAGTATTTTCTTGTTTAATTTTTATAGCTAATTAGTTAATCAATTACCATAGCCAAATAGTGTCACAAACCATCTGTAGCAATGTGCTAATGCATGTACTTGTGGTGGAAGGCAACCACAGTTGTCCCCCCTCTAACTACTCGATAATAAAAGAATTGATCGAACATAACTTATTGGCAATAGTCAAGTTGCACTGAATGATGCTTAATTTCGTTACAAACATAGAAAAGAGTACTGAAGAGTTATGTAATATTAGTCTTCTTATATGACAACGACTGTTGGAGATTCTCCTCACAGATGAAGAAGACACTTGAAGCAACACAAATGTGGTTCTACAGAAGGGTGCTGAGAATACCATGGACTAAACATGTGACCAACGAGTACGTTCCACAGAAAATGGATACAAATACGACGCTTATACTTAACATCAGAAAGAGGCAGTTGAATTTTTAGGACACATAATGAGGAAAGAAGGCTGGGAAAATATGATCCTCACAGGACAGTTTGAAAGGCAAGAAGGACGGAGAAATACAACACATAACCTACCTAGCGAGCTTGAGCAATGGATGTCAGAACAGGGTTTAGGAGAGATAACAGAAAGACAACATTTATTAAGAACTATAACGTAAAGGATATTGTGGAGAGCCATGATTACCAATGTCCTGAAGTGAAAAGATGCATAGAAGAAGAAAAGCTTAATCATTCTCCTGATTTTCTTTACACTATTGCAATATAAATAACATTGTACAACCTCCTCAGTTTTTCTTTCTTTCTTTCTTTCTTTCTTTCTTTCTTTCTATTTGTGTTCCTCTTTCTTTGTATTTTATACAATCCTTCTTTCTTTTTCCTTATTTTTGTTTTTCTTTTATCTTTTATTTCTTTAAAATTTTGTCTTTCTTTCTTTCTTTCTTTCTTTCTTTCTTTCTTATCCTCTTCTTTTTTATTCTTATCCAATCCCCTTCTTTCTTTCTCTTCTCTTTCTTTCTTTTTGTTATCTTCGTTTTTATTCTCAAACAACCCCATTTTCTTTCTTTCTTTCTTTCTTTCTTTCTTTCTTTCTTTCTTTCTTTGTATGTTCTCTATTCTTTCTTTTTTATTCTTATACTCTCTCCCCTTTATTTTTCTTTGGAGAAGAAGAAAAGCTTAATCATTCGCCTGTTCTTTTTACACTATTAATATAAATATAAATATTTTCTTGTACAACCTCTCCACTTTATTTTTCCTTGCATTTATTTGTTTTTTTTCTTTTTATTCATATACAACACCTTTTTTTTTTTCTTTCTTTTTTTTCTTTCTTTCTTTCTTTTTTTTTTCATACTCTCTCTTTATTTTCTTTCATTTCTTTACACTATAGCAATATTATTCTTGTACAACCTCCTCAGTTTTTTCTTTCTTTCTTTCTTTCTTTTCTTTCTTTCTTTCTTTCTTTCTTTCCGTATTTTGATACTCTCTCCACTTTATTTTTCCTTGCATTTATTTGATTTCTTTTCTATTTTATTCGTATACAACACCATTTTCTTTCTTTCTTTCTTTCTTTCTTTCTTTCTTTCTTTCTTTCTTTTTGTTCTCAACTTCCTTTTTTATTTTTATACAACCTTCTCTTTATTTTGCTTCGATTTGTTTTTTCTTTTCCTTTTTATTCTCGTACAATCTCGCAGTTCTTTCTTTCTTTCTAATTACACTTTTATAAACAAGATACTATTTACTGATGTGTATCGCAACGCTTGCGTTGGATTTGACCTGTTTCTACAGCTTGGAAGCCTGTACAGATGTCGTCTGTTTTCATTTGAAGAAGCCCAAGATCTGCTTTGCTCGCTATCTGGCTGATGTTCCCGGGTCCACTCTTCACTTTCATCTTCCACTATCTCAATAATAGCAATAATAATAATAATAGTTAATGTTGTTGTACTGTCTAAATTTTCCCGCCTGTCGTCACTTTTATTGGATATCAGTTAATAACAAGTTATTTCAGGACACGAGTACTCTCTTCAGTATTCCTGCTGTTTCGTTAAATAATGTTGTCCGACTGATTTCTTCTTCGGGTATTGCAAAGCTTTTCTGGATTGCTCATCAGTAACAGCAACTATCAGCTTCATATTCCAAAATATATCCCAACCTGATGCAAGGTCACCATATTTTTTCGGCTTTTGTTTATTTATTTTATTCAATTATTTTTTTACGTGTACTCTACTTGGAATAGGGAATAATCCCTTTCAGAAGCTAAGCAAAATATTAAGAAAATGGAGCATTTCGTTAGAAACAAAGAAAAATGTGGTGAACTGTTATGTAATATCAGTCCATATCACGCTGAAACATCAATTATCGTACGAGCTCCGAAGTTAAGTAAGGTCGTGCTTGGTCAGTAACTAGATGGGTGTCCGCTTGGGAATACCAAATGCTGTAAAGGACGCAGCACATGGAAGTAGAGGACGGTCCTCTCGTCGAACGACAACGCCTATATTCTAGCGAATGTTTTATTTTTTCTTTTGGTGGTTCGCGATAATTAAATCTGTTCTCTTAGATTGAATGTTTTGTTTGCATTACTAAATTTCAAAGAAGTCTTATTTTTTCCATTCTCCAGAATAATTTATGGTTCGTGAAAATACCATTGGCTACCCATAGTCGAATACTAGTCGCTTTAAATTAGCACGAATTTCATACTCCATCTGAGATATTTTAATTATTACATGACTCGGCAAACATTTATCAGAAAGGACATAAAAAAACAAAAGCAAACTAAATTTACAGAAATATTAGGGTGTCCGGAAAGCCATTACGCTTTAGCAAAAGGATATAAAACAGATGTAAGTTAAATTGATTTAAATATTAGGGACCTCGGAAAGGAGGTACGAGAAAGGATATAAAAAAGCAAATTCAAGTTAAATTTATTGAAATATTATTTATTCAAAATGTAATCATATTAGTGACTAGCAGTAGAGCCCGGCGTTGCCCGGGGATGTAACAGTAATAGATAGATCAAGTATCGACCATCATAAAGACTGAAAAATAAAATTGATAAAGATTATTGTTTAAGGTTGACGGACACGCATCTCTTAATTAGTTTTTTTTTTTTTTTTTTTTACGAATTGGTCAAACCCAAACCCAAACAAAAACATTGTTTTCAATCGTTATGAGTCTACCGATTGAATAGAATTTTATTATAAACAATTGCCTTGTAAATGGAATTTTTAAAGCATTCTGAATGTAAAAATAAAGAAAAAAGTGTGCAAGACAATAAGAAACACTACCTGTCAAAAAAAAAAAAAAAAGTGAAGTTTTGTTGAAATCGGTTGAAAAATGTAGGAAATCCGATCCCATATATAAACGAACACACACACAAACAACATGGGCTTTATAATAAGTATAACTCGATATGAGTTGTCCCCCTTCCATTCTTGCTATAGCGATGCCTTTTAAACGTGTTTTCAAATTGATTTCGTGCAAAAACAATTGTGTTTTTCCAATTTTGGCGATGTCAGAACCACCGCAAGGTAATTTTACGTAGTCCTGTGAAGTTTTGTTGAAATCGGTTGAAAAATGTAGGAAATCCGATCTAATATATAAACGAACAGAAACACACACACAACCTGGGTTTTATAATAAATATGATTTGTAGTTAACGGCTCGTCATGAGAAATCAGAAAGCCTAGTTCGAATTCCAGTCGAGTTTTTTACATTAACTTACGCGCATATACCGCTGGAAAGGCATGAATTCATCTCTTTTCCCTTCACATATTGGTCAATTTATTGGACTTGTATCAGTAAATCATTATAATATCTAAAATATTCTTACAATCTAAAAGTATTTTCTAGATGTAAATAATCTGCAAAAGATTGATAGCAGGGTAGACTGGGTCATCTAGCCTTGGTTGTTAATCAGTCTGTCGCAGCAAAACGGCTACCTAGTGTGGAGAAAATCATCTGCCTAGTCAGTCATGAATCGAAAGAGACATGATCGTCCAAGTGTGTATCGTGTATGGCACTTAACCGATTGACTGAATCGCCTTAATCTTTAACAACTTCAGCCCAACGGGAAGGTGAACTTTCGATTTAATCTTTAAAGAAATATAAAATTTTACCAAAAACGTAATTGAAAGATTTGTTTTTTACGGCTTATCATCCTTAAGGTTATTTAAAGCTAGAAAATATTTTGGATTGTAATAATAATATTATTATTATTTTTTTTTTTAGATATTAATAATTTACTGATACACGTCCTACTATTTAACTGCTAGCGGGTGGGGGGGAGAAGATGTGGATTCATACCTTTCCCAGGAGTGTTTGCACGTAAGTGAATATAACGAACCTGACTGGAATTGGAACTCCGATTTTCAACCCCGGGCCGTTATCCATTACACCACACGCACATCCAAGCTTACAGCACCCGAAATTTACAATTGAACACCCCTTTAGGTAATGACCAACTCCAACATTGCTTAACTTCGATGATCAGCCGAGAACCGGTGTTTTTACCTCACATCTTAACGATCTTATTTTTTATTGGTTTGTTTTGCTTCTCTGACCTGATAATTCAAGAGGATCCCCTGAATTGTCTTGTCAGAGAAGCGCATCTCTTCTGCTTAGTAAATCGGGAAGACTTTCAACCCAATACTTCAGTTACCCAATTATATTGCTAGTAATAAACATCTGCATCGTTAGTCCGTCCATCCATGCCCCATATGTTCATAATGGACGACACCGTTTATATTTCACAAGGATAGAGTCTTGTATTTGTTGTTAGCACTAGTTTCTCATTTTGTAATAACCAGTCTTTTTGGTTTTCAGTTGACCTGCAAAACCCATTTTTCATCACCTGTAACAATGCAGTAAAAAAAAGAAAGAAAGTTTCGCATTCCTTGTTAAAACTAAATGGTAGAATGTTGTGTTCGATTCTCAAGTTTTCCCAGTTAGCTTGAGATGTTCGTACGCATTAAGATTTTTTCTTGTTGCTAAATCTCTGGTGTTTTTATGTGAACGCAATTAAATAAGATCTTTAAAAAATTCTTCATTCGAAGTAGGCCATCTTCTAGAGGGTGCCTTGTCAAATTTGTCGCAAGCGCCATTTAAAAAAAAGCGCAGTTGATATGCACGAGCTTTCACTACATCCATATGCACTGCACTACTGTTTTTTAAGTGCACCTACAGCAGTACTGCCCTTTTGGAGCTAATACAGAAAAAAATACGCTATAAATGATACATTATCAGTTAGAAGAAATGATAAACTCGATATAATATCGGTCCTGACCTGGCATCTCAACTTCAGTCACATTCCCAACGCCGTGACTTTGTTTCACTCTGTCTTTTCTATAAATATTTTCATTGTAGTTGTTCTAATGAGCTCTCCTCCTTCGTACTACTTGATTGGCAAATAGGTCCCATCGTTTTACTGTTGAAATAGGCAGATGTAACCGTAAGTTCTATTTTAATAGCTTCTTTTCTCACACTTCTTACCCGTGGAACATTCTTCCGATTTCTTGCTCCCCCCAATGTAGGATTAATCGCCATATTCTGTCTTCCCGAACCCGGTTCTTTTATTGTCTTTTCTCCTCACTAAAGTCTTCTCATCCCCTTCCACTCAAATTAACCCTTTGTGTCTTAGTGGCATTATCGCCTTGCTTGGGGTGAAATGATTACGAAGAAAGTAATTAAAGACGCAGTTTCCTACCGTGGTTCTATCATAGTTGATGGCACATAATTCATAGTGGGCCAATATGTAATTACTTTCTGAAAACCCTGATATTATTTTCATGAACCTAACATAAAACATTTGATTAGGCGTTACCCGATTTCGAAGGACTTTGTGCGTTCTTTTGATGTTATGCTAACCCGAGTGGCAATCCAACTACCCACAGATGTAATCGTTTTTCCCTACCCACAGCAAAAAAACTTTCTTTAATCGAGGAAAGAATAGGGAGTTTCACTTGTGCCTATCAAAGAAAATAAGCTCGAGAAAGGCGTTTGTCATTTACCTACCGAAGATAAGAAAGGTAAACAGAGCTTAGTGCAAATGTACCTAAGTGCAACAAGCACCATTATCTGAAAATGCATAGTTAGTAATTGAATTGGTAAGAATTCGCAGGAGAAAAGTAGGAGAAAAAAAAAAGAAAAAAAAAGAGAGAGACCCCAGCGGATTCTCGATAAATAGGTCTGAGCCTCCTTCCCAGGGGCGATCTATTAGGATAGAAATGAAACACGTGTCCCTAAGGTGGGAAAGGCTCCAATATTCGCGAAAAACAGCTACGTAAATAGTTAAAATTGACGTAACCTGGGTTAGCGCTTGTTATGGAGCTACAAGTGCTAACAGTTTTTTCTTTAGAGTTGAGGCAGTGGTTCAAATACTAGTCGTGGAATAGAAACCGGCGCCTCTAAAGCAGTGATTGCTCACCTTCTGTTTTTTTCTCCGGCGACGTTTTTCATATTATTTTTATGCAATAAAGTTGTCGATATTAAAGTTTCACAGGTAAATTGGAGGAGACCTAATAAAACAAAGTTAATGTCACGTGTTGAAGTTTTGTTATATTATAACAGCGCCAATACCCGGAAGTAATTGAAGCGGGTACAGTCGATCAGTGGTAACCGTACTAGACAATAGAAGCAGCCGGCTTGATCTTTTTCGTTAATACACATGTCGCAGTTTTTCTAAATGCTTAATATAAGCCTAAAAATGTAAATAGAAAAGTAAGTCAAGAAGTAATGCGATTTGTTTTTATTATGTATTATTATTTAATAAGGAACCCAATCAAAATGTAACTAAAAAAATCACAGGTTGATATCCTTACTTCTCAACATAATTACCACCTCTTTAAATAGCAGTATTCCACCTACGAATCAGGGTGTATTTTTCAGCGCGCCCACGTCGCTACCGAACGTGACACAAAGTCGAGATTTAAAATGGGTTTAACGGCAATACTGGGTAAAAATTGCCGAACCTCCCTCGTCATACCTCAGGCGCTGAGCAATAAACCCTAACTTTTCTCCTGGGGCACCCACCTACGAATCAGGGCATTTATCTCAGCTTCATAAAAGTCAGCTGGTTTCTGATGTGACCCATATCTTGCAGTAGTTTTCTCTAGGTTTTTATTGTATACCCGCTTCTTGCTGGGTAGGGGGAGTTAATCTTGAGGCGATTGTCTCGATTCACACATATGTTGCATTCTTCTCCCTGACATCTTCCGACCGGTTGATCCCTACTTTCTATTTTGAGCTTCGAGACAAATAAGTCATCAACAAAGGGGATTTTTAAACTTACCTATTTTATTAACATGTACATTTTTACCTCGCCAGTGGGGTCGTTCTATCAGCTCCGATGAAATTAACACGTCTGCATTCTTTGACGAGTAAAACTTAACTCCACGAAATAACTTTCTATCTTTCTAACATTCCCGCGTTCGAATCAGCCAATC